TGCTGCACATGGTGCATGAAAATACCTAGTACACTCGATGTGCACCCTTACCGCGATTCAGTTTTTTTTATCCGTACCCACCCTGTGGCGGATCAAACAGGGCGGAACCCACCAAGTATGATTAAAATTCCCATGCCGAGCTACCATGCAGTCTTTACTAAGAAGTACTTGTCTTCAAGCCAACTCCTGAAACGTGTGAAGCCAATCTCTTGTAGACATTATGTGATAAGTCTGGATCCTAAAACCCACACTAGATATTTGGTAGTGATTGTTTGTATAGATTAGGGGAGAAATAACATGTTCAACGAGAACACGACGATGTAATCAGACTCTGATTGACAAAAATAGACTTGATTAATAGAGATTGACTGAATACAATAGTTACAATGAGATGAGACTAAAGAGACTAAGAACTAAGATCTAAGACAAAGGTACTCAGAGTGAGATCGAGGTTGACATTGTGTGTGAAGTGTATAACTTCTAAGGTTTTGAATGTGTCTTCTCGTCTCCTCTCCTTTCCTTCTTCCTTTATAATTTCCTTGGCCTGAGATTATCTCAACTACCGACGTCGATCTCGGCCCTTCCTTTCGTTGACCAAGTCGAGCTTGTTATTTTATCCTTATCATGGCGCATTCAGGACTTGCAATTACCAGGCCCAACTATAGAATCATCCAGAATCAATCACCCATCTATATATCATGATACCACTTATCTGATACAGACAGTGCATCAACCTCTGAATCATGATCTATCATAACGGATGCTTCAGCATCTTCTTCTCTGCCCTAATTCTTCTTGTATGCATAGCACTCTATTTTTGTGTGTTCCTGCTTCTTGCAGAAACCTCAAGTTACCCTAGACCACGAGTTCGACCTAGACTTACCTGTATCATTCCTCACATGATCTTTTTCAGTCCTTCTAGCTCAATATCCTTCACTATTATCATGTGAAGCCCTAAATGTCTTCATATCCTGATCTTTAGGCCTTGCAACACTTATCACCTCTTCCAGTGAAAATATATACTTGTCGTACCTAAGTGTTTTCTCTAGAGAGTTGAACCGTGAAGTTTAGTGAATTCAGGAGCAGGATCACTGGAAACTCATGTGACACAGTTACATTCACGCTTGACAGGTAAGAGACAATCTTCAAGAAGTCATCGATGTTCTCATCCATAATCTAAGTATCAACCATCTTGAACGTATAGAATTTGTGCTGCAGTTGAATTCTATTCGGTGGAGTCTTTGAAAGATATAACATATATAGTGTATACCATGTAAAATCGGATGATCTACACATCCTCGTCTTCATCCTTCCTAATCGCTTGACACAGAAGGTGACGAAGATTCTTCTAATACATCCTTTAAACCTAGGACAGACAAATGCTCTAACATACTATTCTTCCACAATGATGAGTCTCTCTTCCCATCAAACCGCTCCACCTCAATTCTTGCATTCTCTATTAAATCTACACCACCTACGGCTCTTATACCACTTTTTGAAACACAATGGCTGAATAGTTTGACCTAGAACCACAATAAAACACACAACTCACAACACACTCTCTAACGAGCTCGTTGACGTAGGTTAGAGTATATAAGTTTGTAGAATTATGGAGATCAAAAGAAGAACCTAGAAAATATTGAAGACATACACAAGTAATTGTTTTCCCAGATTTCATCTTGAATGGCTACGTCTCTGAGGCCTAACAAGAGGCCGTCCACTATAATCATAAGAACAAAGATTAAACGCCTCTTTTTTTCTATCTTTCAAGCTATAATTAGCTTACTTGCATACAAGAGAAGAGACCATACGAACTCTTCTTATATAGTAAGGTTAATTACATTAACCTAATTGGAATAACGCTTCACATCCCTTACCTAAATCTATCAAGAATATTTTCAAAATACTTTCAACTTTTATAACTCCATGAAAACAGTTATTCATATTTCTAGGATATTATCAGCTTCCATAAAACCACAAAAGTCATATTTCATTTCCTAATATAACATATCTGTCTTATTTTAAGTTATTTGATATTGTTTAACTTCTACCACCAAATCCTAATGAAGTTTCTAACGGATTCTTTCACGTGCTTTTTGATGAATTCCAACACATAGCATAATATGCAAAGAATGTGAAAGAACCACAAGTGACATGTGTTCTTTTCAAAAAATAAACAAATTTTTTAAATATTGTTTTTCAAAAATATTATCAAAACGAATGAGTACAACTGTTTTTGTATTCCACCATCTCCATTATTATTTCTATTCCCACTAATTTAGTACGTAACTGTTTTGGCTTCCCACTACAGAAGTATACAAGTAACTAACCACAGTTTTGTTTTTGAGAAACTAATCACAATTTTTCTTTCGCAATTGCCAACAATCTTTATAATCTTTTTTTCTGGAATGGTTGATAGATCACTCTGTCAATAAAGATTGTGATTAATTGGAACATTCTGTTGTAACTTGTAAGTATTGTAAACAACTCTTTATGCTAGTGATATACCATGGATTTTACATGTTTTCACTCGTGTTATATATCCTATTTTTATATTATTATATGGATTTGAAGTATGTTTTAAAGTGTTTTCAGGTCCAGATACGTTTTGGAGAACTTTGGTGATTCTGAAGGTTTTGAGGTACAGAACTGCACAGATACGTCAGATGTTTATCTATGGATGGAGAACTTCCCACGATGAGATTGGGCTATTATTTTGACACAATATATCTTTGAGTTAACTTTCCAGTGCCACCAGTTTGAGATCAATCCAACGGTTAGATAAGAAGTTATACACGTTTTACTGAAGAGAGGTATGTCTGCCTCGCGAGATGAAGCTGCCGAGGAGACGAAGGAGCATCAATCGGTGGCACAGCCTTGGTGTCGATCGATGGTGATTCCAGAATGCGGGCCGAGTATATTTAAAAAACGACTAAAGCCTACGAACTATCACAAATTACCAGAATACCTTTGGCGACTTTAAACCCTATTTTTTGTTCTTTAAACCATTGTTGACGGCTAGGCTTTCTTTTATTTATAGTTCCTAAGTTATGAGAAAAATGAGAAACTCTTTAAGAGTCCTCCCGGAACTCCTTTGGTTTTCTATTGCTTTATATTATTTCTTTTTAATCTGTTCATCTATGATTTATGTAACAAACTTCATGTTTGAATAGATTCACCTATTAAATTTAGGGTTCTATATGGTTCTGATGAATTAGCCCCAAAATGGGATTGTTAGAGAACGAATACCCATTGATTAGAAGTACTCTTAATGCATGGTTTTAGAGTAATTAACTAGATTCTGATCTTAGGATTTAGGATACTGCGAGAGTAGGTTCGAGCCTGATATATTCCAATTAAGTTAGGTTTGCTAGAAACAAACGAGAGCTGGTCGATCTTACTTGATGGTAATCAACTCGCCACAACCATCGATCGATGTCGACACTTGACCATCGTCAATAGTGTTATACAGTGAGCAGTTGATTCCTAGCGTATCAGCTCGCTTAGCATCTTATTTTATCTATTATAATTCACGTGCCTGAAATCCTAGATCTAGCAATCATCTTTCCATCAAACAACAACTCTTTAATTTACTTGTTTTATTATTTATTTCTTTTTGACCTAGCTTAGTATAAAACTCAAGTTTATTGTGTGAGATATTGAGTCTTCGTAGATACGATCTTTAAATACTGTAATTGATCTCTTATTTGAGAGAGTTGCCCATTTGAGACCGTTTCTCTTGGAGTAATTTGAGCACATCATCTAATCATTCTGATTATATTTTTATATCAGTTAACCATATTTCCAAATTTGCAGACACCAATGAAGATTATGAGGAACCTCGTGGATGCCATTAACAGTCTACACATTATTTTTCGAGCCAGCTTTTTTTTATGGTTGTTTTTACCTCTTTGATCTTTCGCCCATCTCAAACATTTTTCTATCTGAATCTCTTTGTATATTTACTTTATTTTATTATTCAGATTTTCTTTGATGAAAGGGTCAACCCGTCAGTAGGAGAAGGAAATCAAAATTGCTGTCTGTGGTTTTAAGTATAAGTTAATCAAAGAGTTGATGAATAGCCTAATGATCACCAATATGAGCAAAGAAAAGGTTATTTAAAACTGAGCATGAGTACTTTGTTACGTTTCATTTCATTTGAAACAAGTGTCATATGAGTGTAATTGAGTTATTGTCATGCTATGCCCTTCTTTTAATTTTTGATAACATATACAATATTAGAAACTACTTTGAGCGAAAAAGTAGAGAAACCAAGAAAGTACATATTTACCTTTCTCTTAAACAAGATTGTTTGTAGTATTTGTGTTACTTAAAATATTTTTAATGGATTTGTTATACTTAATAAAAATGTTGACTTTATTTTTTTGTTGTTGTATGTTGCAAGATGTGTTTGGAACATAATGTTGCAAGTTGTGTTTGGAACATAATAATTATAGAAATTTATTATCTCACAGTTTCATTCACAACAATACATGTTATTAATGTTTAGTTCAAAGTTAATAATATCATAATAAAAATTTGATTCAAATTGATACCAATTTATTCGTTCAGCTAGCTTTTTGATCAAATAATATTAAACATTACAATTATGCCCATGTTTAGCATGGGCCAAAATACTAATTTGTTGACAAAGCATAAAGTTTGGTGTTTCAACTGAGAATGAACGAGCACATATATATGATGAACGTTCGCAACATCAAATTTTCAAATGCATTCATTTTCAAAGTATTAGGAGTGGAAACTCGTGATGTTGGGAACCCATATAGACTTATTAATCACTACTTCAAAGTAATTTTATAATGTTTGTGAAAGCATAATCCGAACTCTAGTTAAAGTTTTTGAGCAACAAATGTAACATATTTGGGACATTGAAAACACCAAACGAACAAGGAAAATAGTTAGAGTAGTAAAAGTCTATATAAGAGTGCTTGCGTCTGCTCACCACCATCCAGTACTAAAGAGAGTAGATTGCTCCTGTGTCAACCTGAGGATATCAATTAAAAACAACGAAAACAATTAGCATAATGAAAAACACATTGAATAGAACAATTACCATCTAAAGCCAACATAAATTGAAGGAAAAAAATCAAAGTATGAGTGGAACTGCCAAAAAATCCTAATCAGTAACAAAATATCATAACCACATTCAAAGTTAAGCTCAGCCTCAGGACCCGTCTTCCGTAGAACAAGAGGCAAATGTAACGTATTCATTCCTTTGCTAAAGACCTATGATTGGTTCAAAAGCTCAATTAAGGATTAAACTGCTATATTTTTTTTTTCTGGAATGCTATTGTTTATAATTTGAATTAGAGATGAAAACCACATATATTATCAAGTTTTATGACATCTATTAAATTAATCTCTGATCAATCTTTTATCAGAGCTTTTATATTTTCATTATTCCAGTTATAAAAATCCTAATCTAGTAAATATATCTATCAAATCATGTACAATAATGAATACTTACCAACCAGTTCTCGTCCTCAGGAATCAAAGACTTGTTCAAGAAGCTTGAGCAAAAAATTTAAAAGCAATAAAATTAATTAATCATAAAAGTAATTAGTAAATTATATATATTAAGAGGTTATGGTATACCTCTGGGTACATGTAAGCTACTACCAAAGATTTTTGGTTCTTTGGAAGACTTATTTTTCTTGCAAACTTTCCAAAACCATCATCAAGTCCCCATTTGGATCCCCATGAGTTCTGATATTCAAAGTAATGAACGCCATTTTTTGTTGCATATCCAGTAAGTAAAATGATATGGTCATCAATTTGTCCCTTATTACTCGGTCCATAATACATCTCGTCCTAACAAAAAACCAAAAATTAGCACAATGACATAAAGTATTGTTGAAATAGTATTTAAAGAATATGATCGACTCACCGTATCGTTTCCCTTGTACGATTTCTTGAAATTTCGATTCACCCTTATATGGGCTGCGATCGGACCTTTTGTATTCAGCAAATGTATTATGTCACTTTCATTAACTTTATCTCCTTCTACAACAACGAAATCAAGGATCTTGAAAGTTTCTTTGTCCTGAAATCTTTATAAAATTAATAAACTTTCGAATCAAATACACTAGTAATTAATTTAGTTGAAAATATACTTACTTTTACTTTATCACATTGAACACTGTTGATTTCGGTTTTTCCCACAATGCATTTGCATTCTTGTTCTAAAACCAAGCCTTCATTTTTAAGAAAAGCATCCAAACTTTTGTAGCTTTTTAAATTTCCATTATCAAGCTTTTCTTCGATATTAGCAAACAAGTGCTTTGCAGAAAGGTTCAAAAGCTTTTTGACTTTTTTATGGATGTAGAGATGAATTGATACCATTCTACTGAACACTATTGTCCAGCAGTAGCCTAATAGTCAAAAAACACATCTTACTTTCAATAAGTTGAAGAAAAAATGTAATAAACAAAATATACTTGCAGAAAATCCTTTAGTAAAACATACTAACACCTATCCAACTCAAGCTAGCAACTAAGTTTGCCAATATAACAGTCACTTCAGAGTTGTCAATCTTAATAATTACATTGTACAAAGCCAACTAATATTTATTCAATTTAAGATAAAAACAGAGGTTTTTTTATTTATGATAAAAATATAGATTATATATAAAACAACACCTCAGAGTATTTTAATCACCTCAGACTATCTTAGTCTCTCAGAGTATAAATCATGAAAGAGGGATCAAGCAAATCCAAGAAATTAATCAAATCTAAAAATAATATTCGATCTCATATATCAGGAAATCAATTCAGACTTGAAAGTTTAGTTTCTAGACCTTGTGGTTTATTTTTTGGATTTAAGGTTTATAATTTGAAATTCAAGGTTTAGACCTATAATATTGTCTTGTAAAAGAAACGGACTACTTTCAAAATCTGATATAAGTTCATTTATTTTTTTAAATGCTTATCTATGTTTTTTTTTGTTGAAAGATATATAGTTTAACAAGGAAAAAGATTCACCTTCACTTCCTTGATCCATAGTAGCAAATAAAACAATTCTGTTGTCTTTCGTTTTTCTATAACTAAGCTTCCAAGGACAATCATCAGGGAGATCCTGCCAAGCAAAAAAAAAACAAGAATGTGTATAGAAATTTGTCTATTATCCAAACTATACTACAATAGAAAATACTCGTTGATTATACCTGAGGAAGAGGCTCTGGTGGCGGCTCGGAAGTCTTAGCTTTTTCTTGTTTTTTCTTAGGCATTATCTCAACCTGTAAATTGGCAAACCAAAAATAAATTTAAGAAGAACAATCTAGCTTAAGAAATTAATATACTAAATTCACATTCGATTTCACACCTATACATAAATATAATGTGTATATGTCCCAAGAAAATCGTTTTTCTCACACAAAAATCCAAGAAAGAGACAAAAAAAGTGCAAAACTATAACATCATTTCCGTCAAAAAACAAAAACAAAATCTAATCGTGTAGCATCAAATAAACGATATATAAACAGAGTTGATAGGCTGAAATCATCAAATAAACGACCTGAAAACAAGAGCAGGGGAATCACAACCTTAGAGATGATATTAAACTGAAGCAGACAAGTATAAACAAATTACAACATCCATGGATTACATATATATACAACTTTCGTTGCCAAATCTAGTAAATGTATATATAGTTTGTTGTTGGTTACTCTGTATGTCTTGTGGTTGGAGGCATTTCGCAATCAGTTATATGACATTTACAAGTTCGCCATCAAGAAATGACTAGTAGTTGTTGCTAGTGTAGAAAGAAATTAAATAGATCTCTGAAATTTCATATAATTATAGTTATTGTTTAATATGTTATTTAAATACAAAATAAAGAGTATTTTGTAGCAACCATCGACTACTATATTTGCCTTATAGATGTTATAACGTCAGTCAAACCATAGAGAATTGGCAAGAAGAATGTTAGTTAAATTAAAAAGACCCCTACGTAATCACTATATTTGCCTTACTTGGAACCACCAGTACGAGGCTGGAAATGGTAACAATACAACGTCAGTCAAACCATAGAGAATTGGCAAGAAAGAATGTTAGTTAAAAAGACTCCTACGTGATCCCTATATTTGCCTTACTTGGGACCACCAGTACGAGGTTGGAAATGGTAACAATATAGCGACAGTCGAACAATAGAGATTTGGCAAGAAGAATGTTCGTTACTAATACAAATATCCGAGACCACACGTGCTCACTTTAATACAAATATTCGAAGCTTCTTTTATTTATTTACTATCGATCCAACAATATTTTTCACAAGAGTGTGAGTTTCTCTTTCTCTTTTTCTACACGCTCGGAGGCGTAAGTGCGTAGACCCACACAAAACTAGTATCCCCTATATATTATTTGTGAATCATTAAAAAATTGTAACCTTAAATTTGTAAGAATTAAAAATAATCCCAATCCTATGTGGCATAGTTCTTTGGCTTCTATTTCAAATCCTAAGGATTCTAAAGCATGTGATATAATATATGGTCTAAAAATTATACTCTCTACCAATATAATATTTCGTAGGCTATAGTTGGTCGCATATATCAAATATTTATTGTTTCGCATGCTTTCCTTAAATAAACCCTACGGAATTACCTAATATGATTAAAATATATATGACAATTAATGATTTTAAATAATAAAGATTTGATAACAATCTGTATATTTTTTATCATTTTGTTTATTTATTTATTATTAAAATAAATTACACAATTACATTAATCATATAATAAAAATCAAGATTTTTTTGTGAGTATGTTGTATTTCGAATTTTTCAAAATGAGTATAAATTACTAAAACTGTTAAAATTCTCACATAAACTTTTAGAATCAAGGTTTTAATTTTTTATATTAAAATATAATGATTATAAATTATTGAAACTACTAAACATCTCACATTAAAAAAAATTCCTTGGTGTAAAGTTTTGTTGCACAAATATGCAAATAATCATAAAATCATATGAGTAAAAACCTCATTTAATAAATATCCATATTAAAAGTGTGATATAATACTATGTTTATATCATTTAAATTTAATTATATATCATATACAAAATATAAGATTGATTATTTTGATTTATTTACCCTAATTGCGAATAAACAAAGTGATAGTTAAATTTATATGCATATGTCAATTTATTACATAATAGTAACTGATTTTTTAGTTATTTAATATATATTTATTATTTTGATATTTTATAATATGCAGAAAAATAGAAAATAAATAATAAATAGAAAATACTTATTCTGCATAAAGTGCAGATCTTAACCTAAGTATGTAACTCTTTAATTATTTTAAATCTTAATTATTTTCTAAATCCAGGTAAAAAAACAAACAAAATGAGAATAAATCTCAAAATAAATATTTATATAGAGTAATAACCAAAATATTAAAAAAACACAAAATGAGAAAAAATTGAAGATAAATAGGATTGACACGTGAACGTAAACTTCTCATAACCATAATTAATTTTTAAATTGTTAAATCATGATATAAAAATTTAATTTTAATTTGTTAATTTGTTAATTTGTTAATTTTTTAATTTTTTAATTTTTAAATCATTACGGTTATGTTAAATCATGACCATAATTAATTTTAAATTATTTATTTGTATTTGAAAAACTTAAAAATTGTTTTAAAAAAATAATTTTAAATTTAACTTAAATTTTTTATAAAATTATTTTTAAAAAAATATTTTTTAAAATATAGTTTTCTAATATTATTAGATAAATAAATAAATTATATTAAATTAGTTTTGAATTTTTATATATTTTAAATGCAAGTATTTTACCAACTGCTTCTTACAAAAACATTAGGAAACTTGCTAATACTCTATCAATCAAGCCCAATGACACTCCGTTAATTTTCCGTCACTCGAACAGTGAAAAAATATATGAAATTGGGTCTATTAAATTCTAATATTTGATCTACAATTCTAGTTACAATTGTTTTGATCCTACGTATAGATAATTATATAAAAATTCCAAAATTCTAAAATTTCAAATACATATAAAAACAATCATATGTAAATTTTAAATTTGTCAATACTAAAATTTTATATTTTAATTACATATATTCACCATGCGCAATCCTAGTTTCTTATCTAATTTAGTTAAAAGTGATATCTATTTATTTATTTTGAAAACGGGCCTTAAAATTTAAATTAGAAAAAGCAAATGTTAGAGCCTAAAGGGTAGTTTACGTACTTTCCTAGGCACAAGGCCCATGGGCTAATTAACATAACAAAGAGATTACACAGTTAAGGAAATAATTTTGATCAGAATCCTATTAAGAAGAGCAGAAATTTTGAATTTGACCGCTAAGGAAAAGAGGCGGAAGGGTTTGAGGATCTCAAAGAAAGAAGCAATTCGATTCCGAACAGTGGGATCAATCAGTCTGAGATTTTGAAAAGATTACGATGTAAACTACCATTACATTCTGCCCAATAGAATGAATGTGGCAATCAAAATAGATGTGATTTCTGAGCAGAATTGCAAAGGAGACATAACGGATCAGTGAGTAATCAATCCCCAAGGCCATCTTTAGTAGGACATCGATTGAGCATAATGGATCTAATGGTAATTAACTAAACCATATCAAATCTGTTTTATCTATAAACCACCAGTTTAAGAAGTTGTGCCTTGGTAGGCCGTAGTAGCCATCCTTTAGACTTAGGAGCTTGTTTGCATATCCATGAAGTGGTTTGATAAGTTACCTTTGCATTAGCTACCCATATAGAACCAGACCGAAAGCAGTAACCACACTAACTTCAAAGCGCAAACCTTATTCCAACGACGCCTTCTGATTTTGGTTTATTGACCGTGTCCTTCAACTGAACCCTACCACAAAAATGCTCTACAAGACATTTAGTTGGTTTGATGGACTTTGAGAATGTTTAATGTGTTGGTGTGTCATCTTAATCTTAAGGCTGTAATGCTTAGAATCCTGGAAAATGGTTTTTGCTTCGAAAAAGCTTCTGGCATGGTAAACATTATAGAAGTTGTACTTGCAGAGAAGACAAGTAGTGTTTTTGTAGAGCCATTTGTCCACACAACTGCAATGGAAAGAAGAAGTGATTTTGTGTTATTTACTACATCCTCAAGAGGAAGAGTATGTTCGGCTCGTGAATCTGTACTACATTCAGTCATCACTGGCCTCCTGAATCTCCTTGTGCTTGTTCTGCGTAAACAGTATCTTTCTCAGACTCACCAACCTTTCGGAATTTGAACATAGTAAGTTGGTCAATATCTCCTAGAAGCTCATTTCTGCATTTCCCAAAGATTGTCATTAGAAATAATTAAAATTTCTTGGACGTACAAATGATAAACCAGTTTATGCAAAGTCAACCGTTCTGCCACTGCATATAAAACTGCATATCATACAAGCCAGTGCAACGTAGAAAACAACAACAAAAAACACATAGAAAGACTATACACAGTAACACAACCTACAATAAAGCAAATAATTCAAACAAGTGACAAGCAATCAAGGAGTTTGAATTATTTGATTCAACAAACTAGTGAAGCTGAGGGGATCCTTGTGCTAACTCTTGGCCACCAGGAGATACCCAGTAGAATCCAATGATCCACCATATAAATGACTAAATTAGAACATCAAATTCTAGATGCTTAGCCCAACTGCTTTACTGAAACACTACTTTAGCCAAAAGGCTGGGCCTATGAGAAAACCACTACTCGATTAGTCGATTTGTTAGAAGAAATTACGTGACAATGTATGGTATGCACAAATATCATTGTTAAGTTGATACTGTCCATAACAAGTCTATTCAAACTTATCTTGTCATGCTATTTTCATGAAAGTAAGAAATTTAAACTTATCATGTTTCCAAAAAAAAAAAGTTTATGTCATACATTCAACTTAGCAAATGCTTAATGTAGCCATGAGACCTATAACGAGTGCGTGATTTAGTAACCCAAACGTATTTTTTATATCAGTAGCTATGTGCCAGGCCGGGTTAGTAGCCGTTACTATCTCATTGAAGGATTAGTTGGGCGTAAGAGATACCCTCTATGTTAAACAAAAGGAATATAACTAATGTACATATGTTTTTAAGAAGTTGGACTTGAATGAACTAGTGACCTATTTTTTAAAAAATGTTCTTTAACTAAGTCGTGTTACAACACAAACGGTTTTCAAATTCTTGTAAATTATTCCCTGTGTTAGCTATTTCTGATCATAATTGTCATTTAAACTAATTATTTAATCATTTTCTCTTTCTATCTTTGTTTCTGTAGGATTTTGAGGCCTAATAATGAAAAATTAACTTATTCAGTTATTTGCAAGTTTAGTTTCAGAATCACATTCTCTAAAAAGATAGTACTTCTTTATTGCACCTTGTTGACACTTGACAGTCACCACAATTTTGAAAAAGAAAACAACCCAACACACCAATTATATTACACCCACAAAGAAACCATCACCCACAAGAACGAGATGATTCACAGTTTTACTTGGAAAGCTTCAGGAAATTATTTTTGAAATTCAATAACATAATATGAATAAGCACGACAAATAATTTCACAACGACGGAAACCCGAATCAAAGGCCATAGTCTCGAACTGGGAAAGGGACTTCTCTTTACCACCCGATAATTGCGTTAACATCACCATGTCCTTCGCCAGCACAACGTTAGAAGAAAAGTCGTTGGCCTTTGGTTCTAGAGGTGTAATCATGTCGACTATTATCACCTTTCCTTTTTCAGAAAGACTTCTCCAACAATTTTTTAGAATTTTTACACAGTCTTCGTCATTCCAATCATGTAGTATCCACTGTAATAATTTATCAGTGATATTGTAGTTAATATGTGGTTTGCCAAAGTTATATCTGGTAACGATAAAAACTCCATTAAAATAGTGTATATATTATGAACTTACTTTCATGAAAATAGCATCTCCTTTTGGAATTTCTATAAACATGTCTCCTGAAACATGCTCCACTCCTATATATACCCAAATATTAGAATTGAGCATAACAAGTATAACATATGTTAGTGTGATCTATCACTACATGTTATACCTGGATATAGAGGAGCATGGGCTAAAACCGAGGCTAGATCGAAATTGATGCCTTTAATATGAGGATATTTGGAAATGACAAGACTTATAACAGTTCCAATTCCTCCTCCCACATCCACCAAAGTGTGTACATCTTCGAATCCTCTGTAAACTTCTAAAACCTTCTTCATGGTCAACGTGGAAGCTTCCGACATTGCCCGGTTAAATTTCTGAGAGAATCGTTCGTCCGAACCAATATATTCGAAAAGCTTCCTGCCATGAGCAGAGACGAATGCATCCTTTCCTTCTAATATCACATCTTTGAGATGTGTCCTACGAATATATTTGTATCAATAAATGTTAGTTTTAATATGCGTTACTTATAGAACATTGTGTTGTAAACTAGTTTAGTTACGTAGTTTATGATATGTATATTTATATAACATTTTATTGCAAACCGGTTTAATTATAAAAACTATTAGCGGATTGTCTGTGTATAATTAAGAAGTACTTACCAAGTCTTGAAATAGACTTCGCTTAAGTTGACCATGAAGAGAGGCGCAAGAGAACCCGACCCGTCTCCACCGTTCAAGAAAAATTTGCAAACCGGTTCAGCTGCATATACCCTCTTTGAATTTCCGTTTTCTTCGGTTTCGACCATACGGTACTTCAAGATCGAGTGACTGACTAGTAAAATCAGCATCCGGTCCAACAAAACCGGTGCCTCCGGGTTAGCGGGTTTGGTTGGGAGACGAAGCGCAATCTCATACGACGAGAGCCAGACACCTTCATCTACGGCTGTGATCGTTTCGATGACGCCAAGCTCCAAGGCCGCTTTGAGAACCATGGGGAAGGCCAGTGAGTTTACAAGACTCTCAGCTTGCAAGCTCACAGTTTCTTCATTAAGTTGTTGTTCTTCTTTGATTAGACTTGGTTTAGTGGAGGTGGTTAAGGGATCTTGACGTTGGTTTGCCATTGTTATTGGTTGAAAAGGTTGAGAAAGATAGATAACAAAGTATAGATGATAAGAGAAAGTTTGTTGCAACGTTAATTTTCAGTTTAGTGTCGTTTTATAGGGAGAGACCCCAAAACCTAATTAGTGCCAAATATTATATTTTCATGGGAATTGACGAAAGCATAATACATGTGCCTAATGGAACCAAATTTGTTTGTACATCTTGTATTTGTCGCCAATAAATATATACCCCAGGCAATGCATGCTGGTATTAAAAGATCTAAAAAATCAAGGAGGAAGTTCAATTTCCAAAAGTGTGTTTATGGATGACAGATAATCAAGTGTTAGACCGTAAATAATAATTAATATGAATAATGGACTGTGAAAAGTAGAATAAATTCAGTAGTGAAAGAAATAAGTAAATGCATACAAAGTTTTCGTTTCAATTGAGTAAGGTGCTGTTCGTTTGCTCACCCAAGTGATCCATCTGGGTGAAGATGCAAATCAATGTTCGTTTTGTACATTAAAATGTTACATCCAGATGGATCACCCAACTGAATTTCTTAAAACTCATCTCAAATTCTCACCCAAATGAGGGTGAGTCTTGATGACGCATCTGGATGCAGATGCATCTAGTTCAATCCAAA